AACTGCGCGAATCTCACACTTCGCGGTTTTAGTAATCGGGAGCTCCATTTCTAACGGCAACCGTGCCAAGACTGAGCGTCCTAGCTACGTGCGCGCATGCTTGGTGGTATTGGGGGGAGTGGGGGAAGCAACGAATGCAACAGGGTTGCCAACAGCCGCACGAAAAATTACCCAGCGCTTTGGAGACCTTACTTTTGGAATCAGCTACGTACTTCAGTTCTAAGCATAACCATTAAGTCATGTAGTTGCAGAAAGGCGCTAGCATGATATATCACCGGTCACGTAGTCTAGTGACTAAACTGACTAAGCTACAACGGATCTCTACTTCCATGGAAAATAAATGCGTGACTAATGCAATGTAATTATGCCAGGATCAGAAGATTTCAATGTCTCAGTCGGTATCACAGAGCCGCTAGATTATTGTTGTTATGATTGGTACTGTCATTGCTATTGTAAGGAAAAATTTGAAGTTATTTCTCTGCTTAACTACTTAAGCACTACACAATGGAAAGGTATCGGACTGTGGAGGTATAGTACCACCATTCTTGAGAGGTCACCTTCACTTGTCGGCCGCTTTACTCCCGGGTAAGAGGCCCCCGTACCCATTCGATAGGAGGCTGGGCTGGCCGCAGATTCGGTCTGGACGCTGTGGATTAGAGATAAATCTTTTGCTTCTGCTGGGACCAGAACCGTGGACGTCCAGCCCCTTAGCCAGTCCCTATAAAGGCCGAGCTATCCCGGATTCTTGTCGCTGTTGTTTTGCTGTATCAAACTGTCTTTCCAGAACCATACATCTTCACAGAGCGCATATGAATATTCAGTGGAGTCAAAATTTCGATGTGTCCCTGAATGCTTTTGATGCAGAAGAGCAGATCAGCGGGAAGGCATCTGAAGAAACCGTAGTAGGCGATGGGAGTTGTTAGACTTTCCGCTTGCATTCTGAACAGCTTAATGTTCCTGTCAGGTCCTCCTGTAGGGGAACTCATGTCATCCAGTGTTTGTTTGATTTGAAAAGAGGAAGTGGCACTGGTTGGACTGAAGGTTCGTGCTCGGTTCGAATTTCAGCCGGAACACCGGTTACGCTGAACGAGATCTTCTGGACTTTCCTCAATCCCTCAGGCTAATGCAGTACCGCAATAAGGCTATGATCTGTTCTTCCAAAAATCATTTCCAGCTCATAACTAGTCATCTGACGCGTTACAACTAGATACTAACAACTTCATAAAATAAGCAACTAGAAACTAGAACGAAGAGACTGCTAATATCTTCTCTTTTAAGATTAGACGTGAATAATGTGACGTACAGACCACTTGCTAGGCAACGGCACCTTCCAGAGAAGACAGATTCTTGGTACAGAAGACCATGAAACGAATAACCGGATCTTCTGTCAGGATGAGGAAAATGAGGGACTGAGCATTGTGGAGGCTTCGATCCCCTTCGAAAATGAAAAAGAAATGGCACACAAAGTAGGAACCGGGAATGAGGGAGCACCGGCCACTCCGGGTAGTTTTCCCTCGGCCTTTTGGAAAAAGATGGGGAAATGCAGGAAAAAAGTGATGATGATGATGATGATGATGATACACCTGGACAGACTAGCACTATAATAAGGGAGCAGCGGGAGCGGTTTCAGAGAAGTCACCGCAGGAATAAAGAGCCATGGCAAGCTGAAACTCAGCACAGCCCTCGGATAAGTGGCGTTAAGCCTGTAAGGAGGGAGAAATGTGACGTATAGACTCATTACTAGGCAGTCGCTCAAACAAAACCTGCCGGGGACACAGATTCTTTGGTAAACAGCCAGTTGCTAGGTAATACGCAGAACAAAATGCGACAATAGCAGATGTCCGTCGCTAGGCAATGGACGTGTTTTCGTAGAAAGCGACGAAAAGGGATGTCTCAAATCTGAGACAGTAAAATAAGGTCGTGAGCCCAAATGGACTCCAACCTGAGAAAGGCTGCGTTGGCAAGGTCCAGCAGCATATACAAAAGACAGACCCGTCCTCACGTCAGAGAGGACGCCCCACAAAAAACAACACCGTAACGGTCAAACAGTAATAAATATTTGGTCATGAACCACAGATGGGGCTCGACACCAAGACTTACTGACTGACTGTCAGTCGCAATGTGACTTTGACACTGACTTCGAGAACATCAGATCAGAGGGGATCAGATCAGAGGCGAACCTAGCCGAGCTGAGAGAAGAGGAAACCAGCTCAGCCATAAACCAGAAGACGAAACGCGAGAGACGACAGACTAGTCAGGTGCATCGCATGGAAAACGTTATTTCAGAGTGATTGTAATTGCAATTGTAAAAACTTATTCAATAAACTGCTTCAACTCATTCGGAACCCATTAATTTCTTGTCGCGTTACCAGGATACGTGACAATATTCAACAAGGATTACAAGTTATGAACTTTCTCATATGTGTTTGTCTCCATTCTACTTTCGCCTCCTCCATCTTGTGCAAAGATTCTCGTCAGCACCCATTCCTCAAACATCCTTAATCTATGTTCTTTCCTTATTGTCAGAAATTAAGATTCGCATCCATACAAAACTACAGGCAATATTTGGGCCACTAATGGAGATGAGTGCTGTACGGTGAATCTGGATCATAACAGGGCCCTAGTTGCTGATTGTCACCCTTCGTCCCATCCAAAATGCATATACAGAAACCACATAGAAATTTCATCCCAAACTTCACTTCTCAAGCTCAGTCCAGGGACGGCTTGCAATATCGTCCCCGTTGACTTCAGTGCTGTGTGCGTTAGTCAGGGATCATTCTCAGAGCTCCTGAGAAGGCAGAGATGAGATCACAGATACACAGCTTGCTCCGAAGTCAGGGGAATATTACGCGTATAATTCAACATCTTTCATTCCTGTAATGTTTCTATGCAGAGTTATTTCAGAGGTTGTTGTAAGCTGATAGTGTAAAGCATGCATAGGCTTGACGCTGATCAGTCCAGGCCCTTTTCGATTGACTTGATTAATCAAGTTATCGAGAATTTTATTTATGCTTGCTTATCGGTTTTTATAATATTGTCACATGTAGAATGGTACGCGTGACGAAATGACGCGTTCTAGTTCGGATGACTGGATTTATTAAAATTTTCGTCCTTTCTTGCATGTGTTATTTTATAGTGGCGTTCATTCTGGTCAGCAGGATTTCCATCATCTGTTGTGTCTCCATACTGTGGCGATATAAATACATGATGTAATCGTAAATATAATACTCTGATGGATCTGCTGAAATCCGTACCACTTCTGCTCGTAATACAAGATTTCACGTATTCATCAAGACTTTGGACCGTAGAGCAGTGATTTCTGCACGCTCCGCAAACATCTACATTACAACATATAACAATTATCCTTCAACGACTAATTAAATTGCTCTTCTCAATTTCGCCAACTATGTGAATAATAACTAACTAATTGACGTAAATACTAAATCCGAGAAGTGAAAACTTAGGTTTTATACATCAATTTCAAGCTAAGAATTCAGTAAAAATGTTATGTTCTTGAACACTATCCATCGTGCTGTTTACACTTAAAGCACCGTCCTGCTTGAGATAGAAACAGTAAAATGGGTAATGTCCAGAAACATACATTTGTACCAATGTCCATTGTCACAAATATTTAGGGCTTATTATTAATGCAGTATGCAATGGGATACTGAAATCATTAAATATATGTACAGGTGCATCAACACTGAAGGCGAATAATTTCGTTATTATTTAGTTAATTGCGAATATCTTTAACCAGATTCTAATGTGAAATAGACTCAACTTGTTTTCCATATGCAATCCTTACTCTTTCTTTCTTTTTCCTTTTCCTTGGTACTACAGACCCAGCGTGCCTAGGCCTACCTCCATGAACTTCTTCGTTCAGCATTCCTTACTCACCTTTGTTAATTCTGTGTGATCAACTTGAAATACCACTCAATATAATTAATTTAATTACTTCAATTATTTCCCTACCTTACAACCATGCATATCCGAATGTATAGGAGGGTGTACCGGAGATGGGACCGTTGTAACCAAGCCTAGGAACATGAAAGTCAGGCTGGAGGAGGCCGGTGTCACACCTACGAGAACGTGCATTCTCGCGAGGACTAGGACGACTATGAAGAGTGAATTAAATGCGAAAATGCGTGATTTCAGATGCGATCAATTTATTTTTCAATAGAGTCCGATGCTTACAGAAAATGTCAATCAGTTATACAGCACTTAATAAAATAATAATAGTGGATTAACCTCTTCCGGTTCAGACGACGTCATCATCACAACTGCCTTTTCTCACTACTATGAAAACTGCAAGAAGAAGAAAAAGCACAAATCAGAAAAAGACAGAGATGGAAATAAAACACGTAATGGTTACTTGCGATGTGCCATTTCTCACTTCAACGCTGAATTCATATACATATATTTTCGGAATTTTGTGAGTAATGCACCATAACTGTTTTACTTTTTCAAGATAAAACTGTCCTGATTTTCTGTTTATCTGGCAGAACAGGGTTTTCGTACGACAGGAAGCATTTCCTCTAAGTATACATGTTGACATTTTTCTTCAA